TTTCTGACTTTTCTGTTCACAAGAAACAGCAAATACCTTGTTTATGACTAAGCTATGTGTAATGGGCCAAGCGCTTCCTACCAGTGTCACAAATGAGAAAAATTTGCATTAATGAAGAACAGCAAAATGAAAAGCAAAATAAAAAGGGAAAATAAATGTATGCAGTGAAACATTGGGCAAAGTTTCTGCCACTCGAACGATTCAGTATAAGCAAGACGTGACTTTTTCCCTCAGCAGGTAGATAATAATAATAATAATACCGACAATATCAATAGCAATTTGCAGAACGTGTATTTTTTTACATTTAAATCTTTAAGCATTTACACAGATTTGCTGACACCGATGGAGAAAATGATACAGAATGTTAGGACTGGATTTCTTTCAATATCAGGTATCCAAAAGCAATCTACATGGTCCCTCTGTAGCCAATGGGAGCAGAAAAACATGCCAAAGGAGTGCTTCAACCCACCTATTTTAGGATGAGAAAAATCACCTTTCAGAGAGTGCTATTCCTCTCTGTTGAATGAAAATAGAGGCTACAAGCTGGCTTTAAATAGATCCCTAACATTTGGATGGCTAAAGATATATAAGGTGAATCCAAGCTTCAGTGATTCATCAGAACCTGTCAAGTGAAATGGTATTAGGCTCCAGGTTTCCCTAAACTTTTTCTTATGCCTCATCTGCTAGATGTAGCCTGTGCCCAGGAGTGCAACAGAGAGCCTCCAGGTACCCATCACTGTTGGAAGTAAAAATAAATGGAAAGGCATGGAAATGGAAAAGAATCAGAAAAAGTATACTATACGTGACAAATCTGTAGAGTAGGCACAAAATAGAAAGCCACAAGCAGGAAAGAAACAGAAGATAAGCTGGCTCATTTATGTCTAATCTATTTCTTTTTTAATGCATAAATTAAAAAAAAAATCCAAAAAGTTCAGTGAGACGATTTGAGATTTTTTTTTGTTTTCATAGATGAAATTTCATTAAAAAGAAACACCTTTTTCTTTTTTCATTAGGAAGAGAGCAAATGGAGTTGAAAGACTTGATGAGTCAGGAAAAAGCTGGGCAGAGAGAAGGAACACTTTGTCAGGATCAGGAGAGGGGACGCAGATGTGCAGAATGGCCCAACGAGCAGCAGAAAGATTGCTGTCTTCAGGATGATCGTTTTTCAAGGGAAATACTTGTCTAAGTGTGTTCTTTCATTCCTACCACGAGACACAGTCCATGAGCTCAGTCTTTCAGCTGACTGACGCAGCCTCTCGGCCAGGCCTTCAGGGCCTGTTCTTGATGACACTGTCAACTTCTCAGTTTGGTCAAGGACTGACAAGCTCAACTTCAGTAGCAGCGAACAACACGGAGCACTGCCTCTTTGCCACTAGCCTGACATCATTATATTTCCCTACATGTAAGGACAAATCAAAGACTTGCTGAAAACTTTCACTTTTAAAGACACTTTTCTTGAAGCATCTCCAGCTAGCCTCAGAAAAGCCTTTTCCAAAGTTATTCTCCAGAAGCTCTAACAGTACCTAAATATTCAAACAGTTTAATATCTAAAACTATGGGACCATGGTCCCTGCCATGTCAAGCTGAAGCTTTCTTCTTCCCCAAGTCAATTTTTTCAAAACACTCATGCTTGTATCAACTCATTCCTCTCTAGTGTTAGGCCCTTTCAAAGGACTTTCCTGTAAACTCCCCCAAATTGTCTGAATATCAGCCTCTACCTCGGCAGGAATTTCAGAGGTGTCCATGTTCGCACAGTTCATAGGAGCTGTTCAAGGAATTCATGAGACAAAATAAAGAAAATAAATAACATCAGTCCTGTATGTGTAAGAGTTAGAAGGGGGAAAATATAGTGGGAGTCCTGAAGCTGAGTATCCCAGGAGTCCTCAAGGCCAATCCCCAGCTAGTTTCCCTGAATCCTGCTACTCTGATATTGTACTGTGTTGCAAATGTCATTGATTTTTCATTTCCTTCCTCTGAAACCCCAAACTTATAGTATTCAATATGACTGAGAGAATTTTATTTTGCATCCAGAATACGCTAAGCAGACAGCAACCCACCATTGTCTGTCCCAGCCCATTAACTTTATTAAAAAATGCAGCAGAGCTGATTTCTGAAAAAGCAATTTATCAGCATGCTGAATAAATATGGTATCAGCTGAAAGTTATTTTATTTGAATGTAGGTGTTCTTTGGCCAGGATGTACCATCGTTCTTTCTAAGCTTGTCAAGAACAATAAAAACACAGGTCAGAAGTGTATGATAGGTATAATTGCCTTACTCTTCCTTATCTCCCTTTTAACCAAAAAGTGTAAGCTTGTACTTCATTTCTTTGCAGAAGAAGATAATTATTACTGTCACTGTCACATTCATTTCTTGGTCTTGATAACAAATGAATTAAACTTGGCATCTGACCAAATATCCTACAGTTACCCTGTCAATGCTAATTCATGATACAATACATTCTGCATAGATTGGTGCAGGGAAAGAAAGATGGATCTACACTGAATAAAGTTCAGAACTTGATTAACATGGAAGACTTTGGACCCTAATTACACTCTATGCTCCGAAAGAATAGGTGCGTTTCCAGAGGGTTGGCGAAAGAATTCAGAAAATAAGATTTCCCAGAGATTACGGATCCTTTTATCACCAAATCCAGAAATTCAGTTGATATAATTTTCCATCACACTGTTTGACCTCCTACACTTCAAGTCCAACAGGTATGTTATAGATTTGCAAAAGCTGCCAGATTTCAAGAGCAGCTGCACTGTTTTATGACCTACTGTGTTTACAAAATCTAAAATAGACTAAGACAGAAATAATCAAACCTCATGCTTGAGAATACAAATTAATTTGAAAGGGAATTTTCCCTTTTCTCAGCTTGCTGCAAATTTGTTGAAAACACTGAGTTTTTCCCCCAAAATGTGCAGCTTCACATACAAACTACTTTGACAAGACATCACATCCAGCGTATCAATATTCTGTCTATTATATGACAAGTCCTAGACTACCAAAGAACTAAATCTAAGCTTTTGGCAGTGGTAAACTTTGGAGGCAGCTGTAGAATTTACTGACAATGTAAAACCAAGTCAAGGTTTGTCTAAAACCTCCAATTCATAGCTTGATGCCAAATTAGTTTTAGTTTAAGTGCAATATGAGTATTTAATGTAATAAAACATGAGCTGCAAGTAAGTATCTAGCCCATCCCAGGAAAAATGTGGAACCAGAAGGTATTTTAATGAAAAACTGGAAGCAAATATCACAATTTAATGTTTAAAAGCCATAAGAGTTAATTCCAGTTTGAAAGGAAATCATTTTTCAAAGTTTCGTACTCTGTTTAAAAACAGATTGAGTAAGTTTATTAAATTAGCAGACCATTGCATTTATGAAATCCATAAGTCAGATCAATGGTGCACAGTCAGCTCTAGAAAGTAATTGCTGGCTTCTCTCAAAATGGACAATCCAAAAACTTCAAGGACTAGTTTTTCCCTCCATTATTTATAACAAGGAAAACACGGTGCAATAGATTCTAATTCATAATGCCTTTTTAATGCTTTTATAGCACAACATTTGGACTCATTTCTAATCTCTGTGGATGACAGGTTGCCATTATTGAATTTCCATTAATATGAATTATGGGTACAATATATTTTACCCAATATTATCTACTCCAGGCCTAACGTGATTCTACAAAAAAAAAAAAAAAAAAGAAATCACAGTCAGCAATTTTTTTCAAAAACAGAAAAATACGAACAGTCATTGGAGATTAGTCTTGCTACAACAACACGCATCTGATCTTGGCCTTACATCCATCTGACTCTACAGATCACCAGCCATAATCTACATGTCGTTAAAATGCCCATATTTATTTAATGTCTATCTATGGCTTCCATGCTGTGAGTCAGTGCTTGCTGAGGATTGGAACTCAGGCTTTCCCTCTTCTGCCCAGCTGGAACTTGCTTGGTCATTCAGGGCAGGTAATACAAGATGGATGGACACGAGATGAGTCCTGTCCCTCTTGTGTGTGCCTGTGGGTACTGATGTGAGTCTGAAGAACTCACTCTTCCAAATCACAACAGCTCTAAAGGACCGGATAGATTCTAGCACATTTCAGCTCCTTTCATTTTGCTCGCCAGCAGTTACCTACTGTGGATACCCCAAGAGAAAAGTCTCAATCTATCCAAATGATTTAAAACCTTCTAAACAGTAGGCATGGAAATAGCCATCCTGAGGTCAACGGGGCTGCTTGCATGCTTGAAGGCAAGCATATACTTCATGTTTTGCTAGATGGTTGGAAGACAAAGATACAACCTGTGGCTAAAGCAATCCCCAAGCTGGAGCCTGTGGCAAGTGCATAATGGGAAGTATACATGTACCATACTTGTACTGTAAATCTCCCACCGGAGGCAGAGTATTGAGCTATATGAATGCGTATTACACCTACTGTGGCTGTTCTCAAGTTTTATGGACTGAGCTAGTATTAGTAGCATAAAACATGCTTTAATGTTATCATTAATGCCAGTAAGGAATGGCAGCTGCTTTGGAAGAAGTCTTTTTTAATGGTCACCAATGAACTTCACACAGGCCTTGCTGCACCAGGACAGAAAGGCAATATGACATTCCTCTTTGATTTTCAAAATATACGTAGTATTACAAAATCTGTTACATGGAATGAAGAACTTCCCAAATGTCAGGAATGACACATTCCCTGCCCTGAAGAACTCACATTCAGAAATGTCAAGAAAACAATGCGTGAAGAAAATAACATGAGCAGATGACAGATAACAATGTTGAGCAACACCATATGCATTTTTGTACACATACTCCAATAGGTATTTGGCAAAGTCTGCTCCTAAATACAGATGCATGCAGAAATACTCAGCCCATCTATAATCAGAGGATTAGTTTTCGCCAGCATCATGGTGGTAAATAGTTCTTTAGGAGAAATCCACATACAAAGAGGGTAAGGGGCTTGCAAACAATCTCTGGAAGCACACGCCAGGCATAGAGGATAAACAAAACATTTATCAGAAAAGCAAACAAAAAGGTAATCAAAACCGAAGTCCTTGGGATAACAGATGGCAGGATCGGGGACACAAAAAGATACATGGGTGGAAGCCGAGCAGGGGTTTGTTTGAATGCTTCTGACATTTCTTTAAATGTCAGCTCATAATTATGACGTCTTCACCACCACCTTGTAGGTATATAGCCACTTCTAGCAGAGGCCTCCCAGCTCACAGATAGCTGCACTTTAGCATTTTGAGCTATCCATCATGTTCCCACCCTTTATTCTGGTGAGAATGAACAAGCAAACACCAAACTCCCACTGAACACCTACTGCTTCAGTTTTAATTTCAAGGTTTCCTCACTGTTCAGTTAAATCTCTGGGTATATTATACAGATTTATATGGAGTGCTACACACTGAGAAGCACTGGGAGATAAGTGGGAGAAAGGGCAATATTTAAAGAAGTTCAGAGAACCCTGCGCATACAGTGTACTCTATAAACACTCCACCAGAGAAGGAGAAGTAGTATGGTATAATCTTTCGCATAAGTTTACATGTGTAAAACCTATGTTAATAAAATCAATCCTTGTTCACTATTTGAACACAAATCCCATTAATAATTCCATTAAGTTGCCACTTCAGTTCATTATTTTACCCGTTTGCACTTCACTATATTCACTGTCAACATCTGCTGCTTTCCCTGAGAAAGAGGGCGAACAAGGCCATGCAATTGCATTTATGTTCCACGCCATACCCTTGGTTTACTGGCGAGCGGTGCTGATATAAAGGGCATTTCGCTGTCTCCTACCCAGAGACAGAATACATTGCCTTCCAACGTAACCAGCCTCCATCCCACAACTTAACATCTAACATCCATCCCCGAATTCAAATTACCTAATTATCAGAGCTACTCAGCATGCTTGTTCAATACTTACTAAGCAGGAACTTTAAAGAGAAAAGGGGGAAAAAGCAGAAGAAAAGGGGGATTGACACATGGAGAGTAATACATATCAAACAATGTATGTTTATATTTTGAAAGTAAAAGGTTGTAGAGGCGGGGGGGAAGACCTAGAGAAAAAACACCCCCCAAAAAAACAAGCCCAAAACCCTTTGATCATGTTAAACATTCAGGGAGGCAACAGATAACATAATCACAATGCACAGCAGGGTCCTCAGTGAAGAATGGGTACACGACTCTTAAAAGGTTATTACAGCAAATTTAAGCAAACCAATTGCACAGAGACCAGAGAGCAGCTAAACAGAGGTTTTCAGGACTTCTCTTCTGATCACTGCGTCTCATTCCAGCTGGCTCAATTTGATCTAACAATCAAAAAGTCAAATGATATGAAAAAAGATATTTCCTTCAGTAAATTGAAAAAGGTGGAGTAGGAGCTTATTTAGATTCGCTTCCTGCAACTGCATTTCTTTCTTTCTTTCTCCACGCAGCCAGCTCTCGTAAAAGGGATTCAGCAGCGGTACGCACATTTTCACACTGCTCCGTCTCTGTACTTTTATTCTGTCCAGGAACAGTCACCTCCAAAGGAAAAGCGAACAGTCAGGGCACTAAACACAATGAAGCAGAAACACAAAGGGAAAAAGGCTGAGAAACAGAAGCTCATTTCCAACAGCACAGAACAACTACCCCGTGTTAATAGCGTTACGTTTGACTGAACCCGACTGGCAAAACACCCCGCTATTAACCCCTGAGCTGTTCATCGAGCAGACTCGTAAACTGCTCTTCTACAAATCTGTGGTAAATTTGGCAGATTTTATGGTTGATAGGATGAGGACAGTGAGTTACCAGAGCTATTCAAGAAATAACACCACAGGTGAGTGAGGCACACCGAGCCTTGTTTCTGTAGCTTCTTCTGAGGGGATGTCTACCAAGTACAACATATGCTCATGGATTTCTGTCCAGGCTCCATCACAAACGGGCCATTAGACATACCCTGCAATAAATACTTTGGATAAGGTATCTGGCACTGAAAAATCTCCTCGATTGTCAGCTCTGAATGAAAATCAAGGGCAAAGCCACTCCACATGGAGACACACACATTACCCGTGCTACCTCAATGCTGTTGCGTGTGCGAGGGGGCATGTGCTCTATGAGAGCCACTTGAGGGAACATGGATTTTAGTTCATCTAATGAACTGCAGTGCTGCAGGAAAAGCAAAACCTCAGTCCTGGTTTCTTGCAGCATGATATGGGTGCATCATGAAGGCAGTTTGCAGCTCTCTGCTCATGAAATCAGGCAATTTCTGTTAATAAAAGGTATTTGAAATCCATTTCCAAAAAATCAAGATGTGTAGATAATTGTACTTCAGGCAGCTGGAAATGGAAGCGTGCAGATGAAAACAGGGCAGGACAAAAGGATATAACCATACTCTTGGAATTTCCCCAGTCCTGGCAACTATCACAGGTTTATTGGACCTTCATTGGCAGAAAGCAGTATTATTTTCTATTCAATGCTGTGGTGAGAGAGAAAGAGAATAGACAGTCCAGTAAGTGAAAAATCAATTGTGCAGGTAGCGAGAGGCGTTTCTACTTCAACACTTAATGGATAATGTGATCTTTCATACCAGCCGTATGCCAACATCCATCCAGTATCTAACACAATCTCTTATTTCCAGAGCCAACAGAAAGCATAAAAAATAATTCCCTGGCACCAGGAACATCTGCAGAACATATTCTTCATTTTGATACAGGAACTGAATTTACCAGCAATAGGTGGCTGCTTTGCAAAACCATGACAAAGATTTCTGAAAAATAGCTGCAACAGCTCCCTAGAAAATATACTTCTGAACTCCCTTAGACTATATATATCTATTTATAATGGGAGAGTGGGTTCACAAACCATTCCAGTTGCTATGACAATTACAACAGGGACAAACCACGCCATCTCAGTGCACAGGTACTCTGGCTCAAAGAATAGATGAAGTGGAGATGTGACTGTACTCCTTATTGTCTGGATACAACTCAGTCAAGTATGAGACTGCAGAGTCAAGTAATGACACACTTGCCTCCAACACAAAGCCTTCCCTGTAACTAGAAAACTAAACAGGGCCAGGACCTGTTATATGGCTCTGAGGCCAAATGATATGGCCTGGCCACACTCACAAGATTATATACTTTTACCCTGCAAAACAGGGTGGCTATATCCAAAATACTGATTGGGAACAGCTCCTGGCCCTTGCTAATCCCAAAACCATGCCTGAGAATTGTTTATGACAGGGCTGGCTGGCCCAGGCCAAAAGCAAGGCAGAGCCTGTGCTAGCAATTTAATGGTATAGATGGTCAAGTTCCAGCTCCTGGGCCCATGCCCTGGCATTGCTCATTCAACTAGCACAGACCTTGCCAAACGCAGTTGTATTGTGAGCAGAGCTTGCTGGAAAACAGACACATAAAAAGAAGCAAGAGTATCTGACCAAATATAAAATCTGTATGCATTTTTATTCTTTTTTTTTTTTTTTTCCCAAGTTTTACTTTCCAATCAGCCTTGTTTTCACAGAGGCCTCACATTTGCTAAAACAACAAAAGGTCAAAATAGTTGTGGTAAGAACTGAATGTGCTTCATTTTTTACCTATGATTCAGTGGTAGTTGCCAGCAAGCTATGGCACTTCCAGTAAAGGCAGACATGCTGTGGGGAGTGTCAGAAGAATTTAAATGGGGAAAAAGGGCAAAGACATCAACAATGGACTAGAAAGACAAAAAGATAAATGAATGAAAGCTTGGATTGCTCCACAGACTTCTCAGAATTGCTTAATGTCTTTGTTTAATCTCCTAGTTGAAAGAAGTGGATGCAGTAAGACACACTGTTGAACAGCTGTGCAGTGACTGCTGTGGTTGCCTTATCTCACTTTGTTTTTGAACCACTTCCTTTATTTCACATCAAAAGAGTGACCCAAAGGTCTCTGCTGTAGAGCAAATCTGCCTCCATGCCACCGGGTCATGAGGCCACGTAAGCAAGTTTGGCTTTGCAGACTTACCATGGGGGACAAGGTAACTTCTACGACCACCTCTGCATGGCAGCTGCCACCTCTCTGTTCTCTGAAGTAAAGTTTTTAAAGCTTTAAGGCCTAGACCAACTTTTCTCAAAGACTTCCCTCCACAGTTTCTTGCAGGCTTCCCCTAGCAGAAAATAACAGGTTCTGTTGGAAGGCCACCAGGTACAGCTCCTGCTCAGAGCAGGCTAACACTACACTGGGTTGCTCAGGGCCTCGTCCACCTGAGTTCTGCGTATTTACAGGGTATTCAGCAAGCTCTATGGGCACTGTACCACTGTTTGACTGCTCTCAGTATGAGCCATTTTTCTTTCTTTCTAACCAGAATTTCCTTTGCTGTCATGTGTGGTGCATTGCCTATTCTTATGGTTGTCATACAACCCTGAGAAGACTCTGGCCATGTCTTCTCCATAACCAACAATCAGGAAGCTGAAGAGGGCAATCACACCCTCTCCGACTTCTCTTTTCCAGGCTGAACAAACCCAGCCCTCTCCACTCCATCACGGGCTCTGCTGCCTTATTGTACGGGACACTCACCCAGCACAACATTAAAAGCAACGCGGCCCACAGGGAACAGGGAAACTGAAGTGGCCAGCCTGAGTCTATCTGGATGAATTTATGAGTGTCTTGCTCTACTCTTTTACTTCTGGTTATTTTAAAAGCCTGAGCCCTAGTCCACTCCACCCGGTTCATTTCACTGAGGGTGCTCCACTATGTGCAGAACATTGACACTGAGATTTTGTTGCCCTGCCACTTTACAAAGCAAGCGATGATGGAAACAATGGCAATTTACACAAAAACTGAGGAATTATCTGCACAATGTGAAGATGGAAATACAGATAAATCTATAGAAAGACTTGACCATTTTTTTCTTGAGATGGCTGCAAAATCCAGAGCTTAGATGACATCTGAAAAACACTGAAACGGCATTATCCTGCCCCATCCCCAAGCTAAACATTACTGTAAAGCAGGTCATACTTCCAGGCAGGCTGAGAAAACAAGGTGAACAACAGCTTTGTGTGTGGCAAACAAAGTGTCTGTAATCCGTATCTTCAAAAATGCTATACACGTGTATTCTTAAAGAAGCAGCACGACTGAGATAATTACACATGTGCACAATGACCTTAAAAGCCATCAGTTCTACACATCAGATACTTAGGTCACCTGAAAACTACCAAAAGAATTATTGCAAGCGGTGGAAAAAAAACCATTTATCATATGGAATTTAAAACTTCATGAGCAATATCAGGATTAAATACACAATTTTTCCTCCATCATCCAACTTGACGAACTTTGCAAAGATAAATGCTAGACCTTTAGAAGCAGGGATGATAAAGATAATTAATAGAAGCTTAGAAGCAGAATAATGTTGTGAATCTATGTGGGGTATAACTATTGCTTTGCTTTTGAGGAAAAGGAAGATAAATTATTCAGTCTTACTCCATCCCAGCATGAGGTAGGAATTCTAAAGGAAACAAGCTGTTCAGAAACAAAACCGTGATGACTATGCCAACACAGAGGTAGGCTTAGAAGACCCAAAATAAATCCAAAGTTTTAGCATTTATCAGCTGAGGAGGATTCTGGGTATTGTTTTAAGGCAAACTGACAACACCTCTGCTTTGTGAAGTATATTTAAATGAGGGTTCAGTTCTAGGACAGTATCAGGATTGCATCATAGTATGATTTTGCTTAGAAAAGACATCTGCAGATTAGCTGGTTCAATCCTGCTCTAAACAAGGCCAACTTTGATGTAAGGTCACTGTGCCCCTGGTCATGTCGAGCAGTGAGTGAGCAGTGTACGATCCTGCAGTTGCTCTGGGCCCTTGCTCCCGTTTTGGACCCTGCATTGGGAATTATTTCTCCTTATGTGCAATCTGCATTTCCCTTGGTATAATTTCTGCTCATTGCTGGTTTTTCTTTCATATGCAAATCTGAGAACAACCTGGCTCATGCATCTTACTCTATCCCATTAGAAAGGCATATGGAGGAGTCACCCCTCCCTTCTCCCCCAAGCCTTTTCTTCTCTGTGCTCAGCAGACCCACCTCTCAGCTTCTCCTATGTCTTGTGCTCCAGTCCCCAAACCATTTTGGTGGCTCTCCATTGCACATGCTCCAGTACGTCTGTGTCTGTCTTGCACTCGGAAGCCCCAAACTGGATGTGCTCCTTGAGATATAGTCACGGAAGTGACAGACAGGGAATGAACTTTGCTTGAACTGTTGGCCATTCTCTTGCGAATACATCCCATCATCTGGCTGGCCTCCACTGCACTGTACTAACTCATTTTAAACATGCTCTCAACTAGGTCCTTTTCTGCAAAGCTGCTTTCTACCCATTTGCTGTTCGGCTTTCACAGCTGCATGGGATTATTTCATCCCAGGTGGCAAGGCTTTGTGTTTGTCTGCTGAGCTTCATGAGGTTAATAGCAGGCCATTTTTTCATCTTGGTCGTTTCGAACAGTAGCTCTACCCTCTAGCATATGTACTGCTCCATTCAGTTTGTTATTTGTGTATTCATTGCAATGTCCACATAATAAATAAAGATATTAAACGCTATCAGTCCCTATACTGACTACTCATCCCAGTACCAGTGGGACTCTGAACAGTTGCCCTCTACTCTCTCTGACCCTGGTGGTCCAGCTAGTTATCCACGTATCTCACAGTGAACCCATGCAGTATGCATCCCTCCACATTAGTTAAAATAATACTGTGTGTGACTGTCAAAATCTTGCTAACGTTACACTAAATAAAAGAACCAGTGGTTCTTTTATTCAAGCAAGGATGACTGTGAGTGGCTTCAAAGTCACATCAGCTCATCTGTCACCCTCAGTACTCCTTGATGCATCCTGTCTTGTCCATGGACTTGTGTATGTCCAGTTGACTTAAGCAGTCTGCAAGTCCATTGCTCATCCTTTATTCCTGTCCTCTTGCCTGTCCACTACCATGGTACTTCACTTCCCCAGACTCTGCCGTCACACACAGGGACCTGGATGAACCTGGGAGCAGATCCTGCCAGTGAAGACCACGGCAAAGGCAGCACTGACATCTCTGCTTCTTGGATGTCCATCTGGGACTAGGTCTCTTTACTCACTGAGCAGTAAACCTACATTTTCCTTTTGTTGTCAGTGTCTTTACTGACACCCTTCTCACTGTTCCTAAGAGCCGCTGGCAATTTTAATTCTTGCTGAGTTTAGGTTCTCCTCATTCCAAACCTGCACAGCAAAGCAGTGTTTTTTCTAAATGCCACTCGAACAGCCTCGCCTCTCACATAAGTGAAGGCTGGGAGAGCTGGGACTCTTCAGCCTGGAGAAGACAGAACAGGAGGTTCTGTCTGGACACCAAGAAAGCACTTCTTTACTGTATAGGTGATGGACCTCTGGTATAAGTTGCCTAGAGACATTATGGAGTCTACTACCTCATGGGAGATCTTCAAAAGCCATCTGTATACGGTCCTGGGCAAGTAGTTTTATGTGGCCCTGCTGGAGCACACTTGGGTTTGACCAGACAAGGTCCAACCACAGGGGGTTGGACTCAGAGGCCTCCAGAGGCCCCTTGCAACCTCAGTGACTTCAACTTCTGTGATTCTCCCTGCTCCCATACACCTGCATTGCTCCTTTGAGCTCAGGCAGGATTTTCCTGCCCTCAGGCAAGGAGGCCCCCAGCTGTGCCTGCTTGGCCTCGTACACCTGGTAAAAAATTCCTGAGCCACCAGGAGGCTGTCGCTGATGAGCAACTAGATCCTTCTGGGGGCACTGCGGGGTCTTGTTGTACCACACAGCTCGTCTTACAAAGACTGGTACTTCTTAAAAAGAATATGGATTTGCAGGGGAACACGTGGTCAAATTATGCCCAGCATTGCTCTTTGGGAGTATTCCACTTGCTGGCTGACAAACGTACCTCGAAGCATTACTTCAGCGGCTTTGAATGCATGGACTTTGTACAACACATTGAGTTCCTTTGGGATGAAAGGATAACTTTAATTATATATAATATTATCATATAAACAGTATATAGTCTTAAGCATTCAAATTATACAGCCAAAAAAGCTTCTCTTTCTTGACATGTTTGTGTAACAACTTAGCGGTAGTAAATATTATTCACATGCTTTTCAGTGCTTTGTTTTGGGATTACCATAAAAGACCCGGGATCATAAACAGTAAGAAATAACGCTACAATATGAAGAATTTATTACCAGTTATTATTCATTATTTATACAGTGGGTGCATATCACTTTACACACAAACACCACTTACAGACAACATATATTTCTCAGCAGAACTTCTACAGGCTTTGTTTTCCAAAGTGAATCAGTTTGGATATGCTAAATTGTAGTGGGAAACAACCACATCTATTTCAGCTTGACAGGAGCACAGAGCAACTGAAACAGAAGAGGCAGACTGACTTCTGGGAGGATTCCAGGACAGTCAATTCCTCCAAAACAAAATAAAATGTGCATTTGGTTTGCTGAATAGTGCCCATCTCATCCAAGAAGTGTTACAGCAGTTAACCAGCACACGGGCACTTAGTAATGCTTCAAATTCCAAGGGAAAATCACCCAAAATAACTTGGGCACTTGTAAGTTTATCCTTCTTCTACATGCTGCTTTTCAAAGTAATGGTTGAATACTTATCTCCGTCAGAGCTGCTTCTAGAAGGAGAAACTGGAGTTGGAAAAAAGCGTGAGGAATTCCTTCCGTGGTCTCCCCTGCAGAGCTCTGCAGGCATCGACAATAAAGCCAGTGTTGTGCCCACTCACAAGATAGTGAGTCACTGCATTTCCATTTATGCAGAAGATATCTGCACCTTGTGTGCATTGTTCGGATGGGATGGCGAGCAGCTCAGCATCGCTGATGCAACGTGACTCCTGGCATTGCTTCAAGAGAAACAGCACAGGCGGCCTATGCTTCTTGCCATCGAGTCACAAGATCCTCGTGGTCCTCTTAAAGGCCTGGGCACTCTGTCAAGAGGATTTTCAGGATTGTAGAAAGGGCAGTGGTGCTGCTTTAATGTCAATTTGGAGTGTCAGCTCTGGCTGATCAGTGCTTCCTGGTATGCCCAGAGAGCATCAGCCTGTGTCCAGCATTTGCAGGTGTAACGTTGAGCAGCAAAAGGAGCCAGAGAGCAGAGGTTAATGTACTGTTTATCACTCCCTGGGCCAAATTTATTTTTATGTCCATCAGCTTCATAGACAACTGTGGTATCAAGCAAGAACTCAAGGACCAAATGACATGGAGAAGTGAAGCTTGGCTCAGTTTTCTTTTCCTTTTTCTTTTTTTTTTCTTCTTTTTTTTTTCCCCTTCCTTCCTTCCTTCCTTCCTTCCTTCCTTCCTTCCTTCCTTCCTTCCTTCCTTCCTTCCTTCCTTCCTTCCTTCCTTCCTTCCTTCCTTCCTTCCTTCCTTCCTTCCTTCCTTCCTTCCTTCCTTCCTTCCTTCCTTCCTTCCTTCCTTCCTTCCTTCCTTCCTTCCTTCCTTCCTTCCTTCCTTCCTTCCTTCCCTTCCTCCCTGTTAATTTGGTTCATTTATTTCGCAAGTGAGTTCTAAACTGAAGAGTCCAAATCAACCAGCAATTCGAGGAAACCAATGCCAGCATGAAAATATGATCTCTTTGGTAGTTTATTCTCCTTCTGATAGGCAGTAAAACTGTGTTTTAAAAAATGACCACCATTTTTATGTTACTGTTAACAAAAATTATGGTAGGAAGACATCCCACCCAACCGCCCCTGCAGCCTTCTGCAAACAGTTTGCATTTGGCTTCCCTGTACCACCATAGACCTTAATCCACTCATCCCCTCCCTCAAAGCTTCCTTTGACGTCGTCCTCTTTATGCAATGCCAAAATCAGAAATTACCTAGATCAGCTGTCTTGAAAATAATTTGCAGGGCCTTCCTGACCAAGTTACTCATTGACAGCAAAAATAATAAGAAACAGCCAAATGATTCCTCATAAAATTCTTTTTGTAGCTACGTTTGACGGCGACAACAGCAGTACGTTCCTAAATGACAGCAACCAACCTTATGATTTTATGCATTTACAATGCAGATAACCTGCCCTCCTTCAGAAGTAATGCTCCTTGGACAATAAAACTTCAAGTAATCAACATCAGATCACAGGCAAGGAAGCTCACAGGCAGGATTTTCTGCCTGACAGGAGGCTGGAACAAATTTTCTAATGAAACGCACAGACATACGTATTCTGCTGAATTTTTAATGGATAATCTGCAACTAATACATATGCTAAGGATGTAATGATGAGAAAAAATAAGAAAATAAAATGAACTGTAAATCATTTCAAAGAATCAAGCTCTTAAATCCTAGCCAACACACATTTTGCTTAGGTTACTGTTATTACTGATATTTATCCCTTTTAGAAGTCAAGATACTTTTTGATCAAAGTGCCAAAGCCTAGAAATACTCCTTTTTCTTTATCCAAAGCTGTCATGTTTGTGACCTTGTAAGTACTTGGCTATGTCAATTAGTGTTTCAAACATGCTGCCTTTCATCTTCAAATGGAACTGGGACTAGAAACTGGCCAGACCTCTTAGCTCTTTCAACAGATGATAAACACATTGCAAGTCAAAAAAATCCAAGCAGCTTTTTATGACTTTACAGATTAATTAGCATGCCAGGGCTTTCAGACCAATTTCAGTCCAATAAAGTACCCACAAAAGTTGACAAACTAAAGCCACATTTTGTACATCTTAATTTCTACACTATCAAAAATATGTAAAAATCCACATGAGAAGAAATATTAAAATAGGATGATAAGAAGATGTGACAGACCATCAGCACAATTTAAGCCCTCTCTAGGGCCACAGATCATTAGGAACAGCTTTCTACAGAGGAGCCTGAAAACTGCCCAAAGCATCTCTCCAGGCTGTTGAGATGTCAGAATTGGTTCCTCTGTACCAAGACCTTCAACACGTCAGTTTTGGAACCCACCACTGCTCTCACCTTGCTCTCTTGTCCCTTGGTGGCACAATTACCTCTCAGCTGTTGTGTCATTGTCATATTAGCTAAATACAATTAGTTTAGCAGAAGTTATCATAGAGTTCAATCTATAGACATTGTTGGTCAATTTGTAATCAGCAAAGAAAAAGGTCTCTTGGGACTGAAGGGTCAAATCTCGGCATTACTTCTTCCTGGCACATCTCTCTAAAGGACCTCTCAGACTTTTGAGGGGATACCAGGAGGATAATACAGTAATATTTTTGGGTGCACTCTGCTGTATTTGCCCTGGCTGGGCTGGTGCAGTGGTGCACTGCTATCGCCAACAGTGTGCACTTTGTGTGTCTTTCCTTGCCTGCAGACCTCTTACAGGAGGCACGGTCTGGCAGCTGCACTCCAGTCACCCCAAAAGGTAAATTACACAAAGTTTATTGAACTTTCAAAGCTAGAAAACCTAGAATATGATTTGGGTGCCAGAGAAAACCTGTCCTTATCTTCTGTTACAAACCATTGTGTGTTATTTCCTCTGGGGCACTCCTCTGCTTTCCTATATTTATGTAATAATCTGTCATAATTAGAGCTTCATGTAGATGTCTCTGCTTAGGTGGGAAAGGGCTTGCATCTCAAAGACCCTGAAAACTCACATTACTGTATTTTAAAAATTTATTCACAGGTAAAAATACCTTCCTGGAAAAAAAAAATATCAAAAAAATCAGTTGCACTTTTTGACATCCAGGTACTGAAACCTCACTTAGCATCACAGTAATTTGCCAAAAGAATCAGATAGGTCTGTAACACGGCTTTTGCCATTACTGCACTTGGTCTGGACTGCTGCATCATGTCCAGATCAAAGAATTGACAGGCTACTATCTGAAATGGTGACAAAAATATGCCAACTATCAATACGAACCCTCAGGGGACCGGTAGAGTAGCTTTGCACAGGGAAGCTGGAACAGCAAATCCTATATACTTCATCAGTGCATGTTTTGACTGTTTTCTAGCAACTGTTGTATTCCAATATTTATAATCTCTCTCCTTATGCAAGCCTCTTATATTTTATAATAAAAAGAGTACATAAATTTCAGTTACCGTTACAGAGCAAATTGTTGTATGTAATTAGTCATGTACAACATAAGGCGTAACTTGAAAAACAATGCGTGTTTATTTTTCCTCTGCTTAATCAATATTTTAAATATTTGTGGAAGCCATACACCAGCTTAGCAAATCATCACCTCAGAAGTGAGAGAAAGAAAACAGACAATATAAATTCCGCGATGCACAGCAAACCGTCTGCAAGTGACAGACTGCCATGGAGGGAGCTAAATTTTTTGGACCTTCAGGGAAAGAAACGTAGAACATTTTACTTCTGGGCTGTTCCACTTCATTCCTCTTTACTGTGCATTCCTCAGCCGTACTGACTTGTTTTTCCTTTACCATAAGATTTTTTTTTCCCCTCCCCACGCATCTTTTTAATGCGATTTAGTTGCAGTGATGCACAGAGACAAAGGCAGTGGGGGCGATTTTCCCCCTGCAATCCTTTGCCTGCCTTGCCAGAGAGGTGAATAAATGCTTTAGCATCTCTGTCTTCTCTCCCACATCAGAACAGCGGCTAACCACAGTGGGATCAAAACTATGGCAGCAACACCACGTGTGCCTTAAATGGCATGAGAGTGCTGTAAGTACAGGAGGCCAGCATCACATCTCAGTTATGCTATTTAAAGACTTAAGACTATATAGTTATCCCTGAGCTCGGCTGGAGAAAATCTTATCAAAACTGAAGACTGGCATTTTTATAAGATTTGTCATAGGTTTAACCTTGAGAATAACAAATCATTAAGTGTGTGGAGGCTTAAGAATCAATTTATGTTCCAAGCAAAGGGTTTTTAAAATTAAGGTTGAAAAAAAAATTAGATCTCGCCTGGTGTTGCACAGATTCTGTTGATGTATCAATCTTTTCAGGCATTTAAAAATAATATAGAGATGATAAAAGTAAATGTTCTATAACCAAAAAATCTCTTGGTAATAAAATTTCAAATTACAGCCCATGACAACACTTCTAAATTGAAGCTGTGATACAGGAGCTTTGATGGAGAAAATTGTACAAGTAACTCGCAAAGTAATTCGGAAAAGCAACAAAGAATGAAGATGCTGAGATGAACGGAAAACATAGCTGGAATGGTGTGCAGCATCCTTAAATGAATTGTAGAGTGTTTTGTTGCCAATATCTTAAGCAGTGCTGCAGTCTTATATGGATTTCTTTGATAGCTTCCTTCTACCCACAAATAACCTCACTGCAGGAAAAAAAAAACAACAACAACAAAAAAAAACAAAACTGGGAAAACCACCACACAGGGACAAACCCAAACCTGAACTCCATCGTCATACGTGACAGGGCTCAGGGTACTAAGGACTGATGCAAAGGCAGCGGTTTAATGGCAGGAAATTCTGCATTTCTCCTACTGACTGCTTCAGGCATTCGAGGAGCTGAGGCAGATCTGCAGTGAAGGGCTCGTCTCGTCAAACTGCGCTGACCCCTGGGTGCCCAGTCAGTGGCTTTCCGCACAGCACCAAGGAGGAAAAGCCAAGCTGAGTTAAAAGAGCTGGAACTTTGCCCATGGTGGCACAGAATGAGCAGAAAAAATGACGGTGTTAAACCTCCTAGTGTCTCAGTTTTCCTGATGGGAAGTGCAGCATTGAACTCTTTGTATGTCGTTGAGGTTTAAATACTTTTTCTCACCTCTCCTGGCAGCCTCCAGTGAAATAGGTTACAGCAGTGCAAAGTATCGTCTTTATTTTGCTCAGCAAAAATTAAGGCTTACGAAAATACAGATATTTCTTTTTGTTTAAATAACTCAGACCAAACATCCGTAAGTACTTAAACGTGGCAGATCCACTAAGTGTGATTTGTACCAAAGCATCTGTGGTAAGAAGGTTACAGGTACGCTTTGAGAATAAATTTCAAAGGTCTGCAAAGTATAATTAGTTCTAAAGTTCTCCTACACATTAATAATTAGTAATAAAATCCTTCTAAAGCCCTCCACAGAAAGACGTAAAAAGCTCTTCCAGAAGCATAAAAACAGAGACGAAGCCCAACCCCCTCATCATTGGCATTACACATATCTTAAGCTTCCTTCTGAAGACAGTTTCACCTCTCTCCAACAGTTAATTTGATCAATTTTTTCTCTCCCTTCCAATGCTTTTTCCATTCATATCTCATAACTCGGGGTGAAGTCTTTAATCTTACATACATTTCATGATAATTTAAAGACCAAATGGTTCAGCCAGATTAGATAGTCTAGTGGTCCTTAAAGCTATTTATCTATAAATTCCCAGAGCAATTCCATCATCAACACAGGCAGCTTCGCAGTCCAGTCGGAGAGAAAAGAAGGCTTTTCCTCCTTTCTGAATTTGTCATTTTAGGATTCAGTCCATCAGGAGGTGAAGGGCAGGAATACCACCAATGCCTGCCAATAGAGGTATCAGTAGACAGGGCTCTTGTCAAAACGACTTCCCTTCAATTTTTGACAAGATCATGACTCTGCTTGATAACAACTAATGGAGGATGATGGCATGTATATGTATTTTTAATAACTATTGACTTAGCACTGTGCAATGCTTTGGATTAAAGACTTTGCAATTGACAGCAGTGGTGGTCAATGAGTTAAGAACTGGTAAACTGATTTATTTTTTTTCTAAGATTTTCCCTCCCAACGGGAAATGTTTCAACACGAGACAATAACTGCTGATACTAAGCCAAATGGTATTCAACTTTGCAACCAATATCTGGAAGTAAATTGGCAAAACACTGATAAATTTGTGGGTAGTAGAAATATTAAAGGGATGGAAAGTAAGGAGAATAACGCTTTTGCGTGAAATGATGAGTTTTCATGCAACAAATGGTGAAGTTATACATGTAGGAAAAGGAAGAACACATGACTGTACCCACAGCTGCAGTTACTCTGGAAGTGTAAGGGCCCAAGTGAAAAATGCTATGTGTGCATCTAGCACCTTGGTGAAAAAGCCTGAAACAATTATTATTAGCTCTGTACGCATGGGAACAGAGGAAGGGAACAGTTTTATCTCTGTATGAGGGAAGAGTGAGTATGATGCTGAAATGTTGCGTATGGTTTTGGTATCCAGATTTTCAAAGGCGGATAAGAATCGGAGGGGATGCAAAAGATACAGAGTCATTTTGGAGGCTACTAAAACTGGTACACTGCAGGAAACTAGAGGAATCAAGGATCAAAGTCTGAAGGCAGATTAAATGATTTATTAAAAAATGAATCAAGTTGTAACTGGGAAGATAATGAAACAGCAGGAATACAAAACAAAAGGTTGGGCCTTTGTGCTTTTTGAGTTCTTCAAACCAGCTCAGGAGATGCACTAAAGTCAAAGTTGGTAACTGGAGGAAGCAGAGAGGCCTCTCTGTCCTCAGGCTGGAGGAATATCACTGGCTGTACCCATATCCTTAGACGATCACAGAAGAGGAAGGCTCTAACTAAGCTATCAAGTATCCTGCTTCCAACCACAAAACAGAACCGAGAAATTCATCTTAAGATGCCAATGGCCCTCTGTGAGCTGGTACCCCATAAACACATTAACAAGAAGGCTACAGATGGCAGACTGAGCTCTCCCCAGCTCAAGACGATTTGGCACATTCCTATTTTTTTAAATATACCAAGCAACCGCATTTCTTTCCCGACTTGTGATTTCCTCATTATACAGACCTTGTTTTTTATGGTTAACCATTAGCTGGATTCTACTAGAGAAAGGCACTGGCTGGGGACACGGCTAACCACAAGTGCTAACCTCGGCTGTGTGTCAGGGAGAGAGATGGAGTCAGGTGGGGTGAGCATCAGTATGTACGAGCACCTGATATTTTTTTCCTGACACCGTTCCACATCATTAGTTGGAATCTCGCTATACACTATACCCTTACATCTCTGTTGATCCTCCCTCCCTTCTCTTTAAAAGTCTTTTTCTTTCAGTACATGCCATTTTGAATTTTCAGAGCTGCTCAGCTGATTCTCGGCAGAAGAGGCTGGGGCAAGGACGGTAGGCATTTTTGCACATTAATTTTATGGGAGATTACACAGCTGATTAACAGTTCTCTGAACAAAAAGTGTCCCATGCTACCTCCATTCTTGCCTGTTTATTGCTTTTGATCTATTCATGCCAAAACATTCGTACTAATGAAAGTAATCAGAAAATTGCCTAATAAGGTAATTTAGAAAACAGTTCACATTGAACATATGATCAAAAGGCATTTAACTTGCAGTTCCTGCCTCCTCTCCCCCAGTAAACACATGGTTTACTGGCACTGCTGTGCTTCAAAATGGTTTTGAACATCTGGGAGAAGGGCTGATCAGCTTCAGACAATAGTTGGACTCTGAGCAGACCCAGGAACAAAGGTCATGATAAATGAAATGACTGCTTTGGCTCCAAAATTGCCTCAATCTTCTCCAGAAAAAGCATGATTGAAATGTGTCTATCTGTGGATAGCATCTGGAGCACTCTAAATATGTTTTGATCAGATTGGCTTCTTTCAAATGAAAATTATTTGAAGACACCATGGAAAATTTTTAAAACCAAATACACTGTAAACTTTAGCCTAATGTTTCCTTCTGCAGCATTGACCTTGTTTTTCTCCAGTGTGAAGAAAAAAAAATCAATATAATAATGGTACTGCAGTAAAATTTCAGCTTGCTCTTGGCTTTAAATAACTTTATTGTCTCCTTTCCCCCTGTCTGTGTCTGCTGCATTTGGCACTTGCAGTTATTAAAATGAAACCAAGTTGAAAGAAAATGTTAAATATCATAAAAAGAAAACCAGCAGTGCTTCTGGCTCACTTTGCTAATGCTGTGGTCACCTTTACAATTTGCCAGGGTTTTCTATTCCCCAGCTGTTCTACCTGAATTTGCATGCAGAAAGAAACCCTAAGTTTCTAACTGGAATAACAACTTGTTCTTTGCAGATTTAAAAGAGCTAAATGTTTGTGGTGGCTTGAAAAAAAAAAAAAAAAAAAAAAAAAAAAAAGAGAGAGGAAGAAGAAAAGAAGAAGAAAAAATAAAAAGCTGTCCCCTCTCCCCAGTTATATATTAGAACAAAATGCCTCAATGATTTACTAGTGATTTCAATTCTTAGCTGCTTAACATTTTTTTTCCTTCTTAGTGTGCATTTCTGTACAAAAGAGAGAGCCTGGTTTTAACAGTCCCACTGTTACACTCTAATCTGCACTAAGAATGAGGCTTTGTAAATCTCATATGAAAGTACCAACTAAAGAAAAGAAAAAGACACCATTTGGCCAAAATTATGCCCTTTGCCCATTTTCTGCACCTTCTGGATGAAAACCACATCCACCTGTTGTCAACCACAGCCCTGCCTTGGTAACCAGACAATGAGGGCATTCTCAAAAGCAAAAATGGGAACCACAGGCTCCAGGAAAAGCGATGGAGAGCCCAAATGTAGGCAGTGCTAGAAGAAAAGGGGAGTTTGCTCTGCTCAGCCCTGGGCCTCTCAGGAACATGAAAACCCTAAGTCTCAGAGCAAAGATGTCCTGTTCAAGTGCGTGCACAATGCACAAAATGATAAAAAGGCAGACACTGCCCAGGAAAACATTTTCTCCTGTTCTTTGCTGTGCTGCGAACGCAGATTTTGCAAAGGGACGGATGATGCTCCACCTCTAACATCCCCTCAAGACGTCATCCCCAGAAAAAAATAAAATAAAATAAAATAAATAAGGAACGTATAAAAAAGCTAAATTCTTACTTTGGTCGTCGAAGCCGGAGACGAGTTGGCCACCAGGCTCGTGATCACGTCGCTGTTGCCCGTGGTGCAGGCGGCGGTGGCTGGGGTGGGGAGCCGGGAGGGGACGATGGGCAGGGGCAGCAGCCCGGGGCGGTTGGTGCTGGTGGTGCTGGCGGCGCTGCTGCAGTTGGTGCTGCCGACGTGGTTGCCGTTGGAGCTCCAGTCCCGGCGATCCCACCCGGCCCGATAATCTCTTTCAAACCGGCTGTGGTGCCGTGACATCTCGGTGAAGGGCGGCTGCTTCTCAAAGGGAACTCGAGAGCGTGCCTGAAAGATTGAAAAGCAAAGAGGGTGTTGGGAGTGAGGTCCCTGCAGTGTGCCCGTGCTCTGCAGTCACCAGGACAAGCTCCTGCCAAGCCTCCTCTGTGTTAAGAGAGCATTGGTACACTCCTATTCTGAGATGAATGTCGGGAGGAAGAGAGCAGTGTTGTAGTAAATGTTAATCAAGAACAGAAGTTGGAGAGTTTGAACAACTACAAGCATGTGGTGGAGAGACCCGTGCCTCGGACCCGAGGAAACACCATCTGCCCAAACTCTCCAGCAGAATAACAAGTAACAGCACACAAATCACGGGACGCTGAGCTAGAAGAAAATCATCCTTCAAATCTTCTGATAGCAGGAAAACGTTTCCAACAGCTCCATCTTGCAGTTTTCTCAACAGTCTTCAGATCATCACTATGACTTCTCTGCACTTGACGTGCGACCAAATAATCCTAAAGACCAGAGGGAGAAAAATCTGCCTGCTGGAGCTATTCATTACCTCTCTGTTTTTAAAGCTGAGTACTGCTTTGCACTGTCCCCTACCCTCCTTTTGACTCGACCTCCTCCCACAGGAGGAACATTTCACCCCGAGGACGCCCGAGCTTTCCCTAGAGCTTCTGTTCTCCAAGGCACGCCGGCATTTTCTGTCTCCTCCCGTGCTTTTGGCTAGACGTAAAACACTTAATGTAGCCAAGATGATCAAATGACCAAATCACTTTGTGTGAGCATCCTGTCCTTATCATTACTTACCTCCTCAGTCTTTGTTATCCACAGATTTTATCAGCCAGGAGCAAGACGGCTGAACACAACGCTGGGACTTGAGACTCCCAACATCTAATCCTAGTTCTGATAATTATATCTTACATAGCCTACAGCAGTTATTTAAGTCTTCCTGCCGAGGTTTCCTAACCTGCAAAATGGTGGCAATAATGCTATTTTCCCAGCAGAGGTCTGAGTAACTGAGAGTTTACAGCATTTCGAATTGAAGAACAGTATAAATACATGCTAAATATATTTATTCCCATAAATAAATAATGAGTATCTAGGTCACTGCAGCATCTGATTTATTTTATTTGCATCACACGATCCAATAAATTGTTTGTAATAATAACAACAGGTCAGCTGAAGCAATTTTGTTTCACAAATTCTTAGATACAAAAACGGACAGTAAAAATATCTGCTAGTAACGGCTGAGGATGGAAGCTAAAACAAAACTCACCCAGAAACTTAGAGATAACAAACTGCTTCAGAGAGCTATTATTTAGAAGTGGTATAAACCAGTGTGCCTATCAACAATTTTGGTAGTTATTCACCCAGTAGAACTAAAAACAAAAGCAAACAAAACCAACTACTATGACTAAATGCAGTGTATTAAAGGCTCATGTGCTTCACCAAGGAGCTACTGGCTTGTGAGGAAAAAAACTCTTCCTCAGTTAAAAAATGAATAATATAAATATGTATTAGAAAACAGCAACAACAAAAAAATCCCTACCACAATCATCTTCCAACAAAGATCTCCCGAGAACCTGCATTGGGAATGGTGATGATGCCACCCTGCTCCAGCAGAGCTGTGGATGTTAACCACAAAATCAGCACTCCTGGTAATCCAACAGAACCAGTTGGTTTTTCTCTGGTAGGATTTGATGCAAGATTTGATTTTATGACTTGGAGGTTTAGGGATTCAAAAATTCCCCTTTCTCCATGTTTTTGTGGCTTTCTGATACTTTAAATCAGAAAGGTCATTTGGGGTTTTCCACAGGACCGTATGGACATGATAGACAGACACAAAACATGGTAAAAACCAGAGGCACAAGTGCTGTGATAGATGCAGTAGCGAAAACAGAAACTTTTGTTTCAGGAGCAGCGAAGAAAGCAAGTTTTTCCTCTTGTGTCAAGCATCTCAGAATAAAATCTGTACCTAAAGATAGCATCTTTAAAGGTTAAAAATTCCACAGGCATAAACCTCCTTCCTTTAGTTTTATCAACCTTTTGCAAAGCCAGGCAAAAAGGGAGACTGTAAACTGCAAGCTGCAATTTCACAATAGCCTTTATTATTCCCTGCTTTGGAAGTTTCTTCTCATATCTTATATCCCCCAGTGCAGGAAGCGATCTTTTTTGACTGTTTGGAAGGTGGCTGTCAATTGAATGCCCTTCTCCTTCTGTGCTCGAGGATCTCCATTAGCTGTATTAGTGTACTTCTTGACAAGGGAACGAGAGAGAACCAAATCACATATCCCCCACCCACCCACACACTTGAGTATATCTGACATTTAATTCAGCGGAGAGCAGAGCACACATGCACACAAGTCAATAGCTAGCAGTTTTTGCCACACGATCCAAGACACCATGCCCCCAGCAATTCTACTATCAGATGAGACTGACAGGCAATTACGTCAATAACAAGGAGGAAAAAAGCCTGTGACTAAGCCGTGCATTAAGAAGTTTACTTAAAACCCACCGCCCTCTTCACAAGCAAGTTCTCCTCTTTGTCCAGTTACCGTCTTTTATTCTATTTACAATAAAAACTAAAAGCAAGAGCTGGAAATGCACTGCGTTAAATATACACCGCTTGTTTCAAGCGTGTTGGTTTTGGCTGGATGCAAAGATATTTGACAGCAAGAAGACGTGCAGAAAAACTGGAGGGGATAACTATCTAATAAATGGGTATTCAACTGCTAGTGCTTGTTATTAATTGCTTAAAATTAGAAACAATATAAAATGTTCTCATAAATAGCTGCTGGGTGAGGTAAGAAATGGTCTGGGCTAGCTCTTAAATGTATTTTTGGATCCAGAGTTTATGCTTTGTCTAGTCTATCTTTGTCAAGGATCATAATCATAATAATAATGCTTAAAACATATTTTGTACTCAGAAGAAAAACTTCTCCGACAAGCCGTGTCCCGAGCCAAGCTCAATCATCACATTCCTCCGCAGAGAGCTCGACACGGGACAGCAGCATAAACCATCCTGAGGAACAGCCCTGAAGGAGGCCAGAGCAAAAACCACACACGAACAGCGAGGACAGCAGTCACTAATCACAGGCATACAAATATTTCCACCTTACGCATGCTGTTGGCTGTTCCAAAGTCAGAGATTCACAGAACCATAGGATATCTCGAGCTGGAAGGGACCCACAAGGATCATCAGGTCCAGTTCCTGGCTCCACACAGGACCACCCAAAACCAGACCCTATGTCTGGGAGCGTTGTCCCAACCTTTCTTGAACTCCACCATCTCGGTGCTGTGACCACTGCCCTGGGGACCTGTCCCAATGCCCGACCACCTCTGGGTGCAGAACCTTTCCCTCACACCCAGCCTGACCCTGCCCTGTCCCAGCTTTGTATCCAATTTTAGGCTAAATTTTCCATGGATTGTTTTAGATTTTTTTTCAAGAATAAGGGAAAACCAAACCAAACCAAACAGAAAACCACACCTTTCCACTGGGGAGAAAGGGAGAAGAAAGATACTAATGCTTATAAATACCAGTATCAATACCCACAAATAATTCATTGTTTTTCCCTTTTTAAGGGATTTTTTTCTCAACATTCATATGCATGCACACGTATTTTTCTTTTCTAGGCCCTTCAATTTTAGCTTTAAATCCCGCTGAGCACCACAAAGGTAAAAAAAAAAAAAAAAAAAAAAAAAGAAGAAGGTTTTCACCTCATTTTTCAGACTTGGGGAACTCCCAGCGCTGCCCACAATACACTTGCTGCCCCAGCTAATTATAATCTACCAACTTCTGTTTTGGAGCCTATCAACTATCAACTATCTATCAACTCTTTTTTTTTTCTTTTTTTTTTTTTTCTGCTAGCACAAAGCTCCCCACTGCCTTGTCCAGAAGTCATTTCTCAAGGAGATGAGCTTAAAACCATCTCAGATATGTCCACCATGGCTCCAGATACCACAAAACCACAAGGTAGTCATGCCTGGCAATAGAAAGACCGTAGGATTTGCATACATCAGAAGTCCACGAGGAGGGCTATCGCATGCGGTTACTGCTGAAAATCAGTCTGTACAGCTAATTCAGCTGACAAACTATCTAGTGAAGGTGGTGAAGTCAATGAGACAGGCCTTCCCCCACGCTCTACCAAGAAGGAATCGCTGGAGTAGCCAGGTGTCTTTAATCTCGACGAGAGAGGAAATGTGTGTTCCTGTTTGTCACACAGAATCAAAGGATTTCGCTGTGCAGCCAAAAGGAACAAAAATGCTCTTGGAGGGGGAAAAACACCCTTACTAAACTAAAGAGGGAGGAGAGAAAAGAGAGAAACCCATAGCCGTAACTGGATGAACTGATAAATTCGAAGCAAAAAGGAGATCAAAACGGCATTAAGGGGAGAGCTGCGGAAAAGGCTATAAGCTACAGAAGAGAGATCGAGCAAGCAGGCGGAAATAAGAAGCCCACAACAAATTTGAAATGAGATTTAGTGATATGGCAAAGCAAACAAAATGCCTGCCCTGGTCCCTGAAGATCACCATCGATGCGTAGGTGTAGCAAGGACTGAACCATGCCAAGCGCTGAGAGCCCACTGATTTCAGTGAACGGCCCTGGAAAGTTCCCTGGAGCCAGGCAAGACATGAACCTGACCCTTTCCTCTGTAATTTACTTTCACTGCAAGACAGGCCTGGGAAGGCTGACTAGGGAAGAAGGTAGGAGAGCAATGAAACAGGACTGACTGCCCTGCTGAGAAATGTGGCAGGTGTCTCTCCTGGCTCCCCATGGCCAAAATACACGGTGCAGCGGTGAGAAAGGCCAAAAAAAAATAAAAGACTTTAAATCTCCTCTTGAAGGAAGGTAAAATGTGAATCAGTTCTCTGCTAGTGAAAACCACAAATTTTTGAAATTTCTCATACAAACAGCTTGCCCAACAATAAAATTTGAGATTTATGTTTTTTCTGCAGAACGGGAGCATCTTCAGGTCTATAACATGGGGCACCTACACGTACAACTGTATTCAACCTCCAAATTTACCCCAAGCCCTTTGGCAATTCAGAAGCCCTCCTGCCTT